AGAGAATTTTTATTATTATTATTATTATTATTACAAAACAGCAATCTGAGCTTCTAGCATTGAATGAGTTGTTGCTCGTTTTTATTTGGGTTTTGTTGAATTGTAAAATGTGGCTTCTTTAAGAGTTTATTGCTTATTTGTAAATTTTTTATACTGAGGTTTTTAATTCATTTTGTAGATGCTGATGCTGTTACACAGCCCAATCGGTATTTGCTGATTGTTACTAGTGGAGGCTTAAATCAGCAAAGGACCGGGGTGAGTTTCGAGCTTATGTATTGTTTAATAGTTGATTATTTGAGGAAATAGATTTTTGTTTCTCTGTTTTGAGGTTTCAGTTTATGGGTTATCAGGGATGATCATGTAACTGAGGTTGTTTGAAAGTTTGCTGCCTCTTGCTTGTAAAACCTTTGAGATTATGGAAACAACTTCCTCCACATTAAAATAGTTCAAAGTGCTGCAAAATGCACAGACCAAGATCACTCAGTCACTTGGAGGCAATGTTTTGCACCAAATGTGCAAGACCCACATTTATAGCTGTTAGTTGTCTGTGAGCTACCAACTTTAAATGCATATAGTGTGTTTTACGAGGGTTGGCAGTGGATGGAATAAAAAAACTAGGCAGAAGTTTTTGGTGGACAGTAAAATTCCAGAGAATGACTCAAGGGATGAGAGAGATTGGGAGAATTGTAGAGGGTGATCAGAGAACTGTTAATAGTAGCTCTTACAAGATTGGCATTCCTTGAATCATCATAAACATGTTTGTGTGTTAATACAGAATTAGAGAAACAGTCTGAGTCGCTTATTCTCTGCAAGGCATTCATTTTAACTTAATACTGGCTGTAATATTGGGATCGAATGATGCTCTTACGCATGTTTTTTTTTTTTCTTTCTCTTTACTGACTTTCAGGTCATGTTTTCTTGTTGCTGCAGTGCATAATGATTATTTATCACGTGATTAATATTTTGCTGTCGGCATTGATGATTCACTGAACACTTTTGCAGATTATAGATGCTGTTGTTGCTGCTCGTATCTTGAATGCCACTCTTGTTGTTCCACGGCTTGACCAGAAGTCTTTTTGGAAAGATTCAAGGTTCGTTATTGAATGAGTATAACTGAAACCTTTTCTTGGAATCTTATTTGCAACTACTGGTAGGGATTTCTGTTGTAATATTATGACTTTTATGATACTTTGTCTATTGCAGTGATTTTTCAGAGATTTTTGATGTTGATTGGTATATTTCTTCTCTGTCAAAGGATGTCAAAATCATTAAATCTCTCCCTAAAAGGGGAGGGAAAACTTGGATTCCACGCAACATGCGTGTTCCAAGGAAGTGTAGTGAGAGATGTTATCAAAACCGTATCTTACCTGTTCTTTTGAAAAGGCATGTAAGTTCTCCTTTCTCTGCAACCTTCTTCTGATTGCTTTTATATTTTTCAATTTTTTACCATGCAATATTAAGTTGCAGAGTTCTTGTTTCTGTTTGTATCCTTGCTTCTCTGGTCTTGCAACTACACCAATATTTGTCAAATAAGTCATGTTTAATAGGTAATAACATCCTGGTTACTTGCCTTGAGAACCATTAGGCGTGGGATAAAAGTTGTGTTTGTTAAGTCATATGAATCATTATCAATTAAAGGGGATATACAAATACTCAAGTGTTGACTTAAACTATTTGGATATTATCAATTAAAGGGGATATTATCAAGTGTTGACTTAAACTATTTGGATATTATCAATTAAAGGGGATATACCAATACTCAAGTGTTGACTTAAACTATTTGGATATTATGGAGGAAGTTTAATAGCACAAAATTTGACAAAACCTTTCCTTGATCTAATTTTGAACTTAAAAATATTTTTGTTTTAAGTAGAATCTACTCATGAGACTCCATATGGATCTGTTACTTTTTCTGTGCTATGTTGATTGGGATGCATACCTTTATTTTATGCACTCTGTTTCCTGGCAATTTTTTGGTTTATTTTAAGAATGACTTGACTTCCTGGACTTAATTTTATAACAGGCAATTCAGCTCACAAAGTTTGATTATAGAGTCGCAAATAGGTTGGATACCCAATTGCAAAAGTTGAGATGTAGAGTCAACTACCATGCTTTAAAGTTTACTGATCCTATTCTTCGAATGGGTGAGAAATTGTTCCATCGAATGAGGATGAAAAGCAAGCATTTCATTGCCTTGCATCTGAGGTATTCTAATTCATTTTCTGCTAAAACTGGCTGTATTTCTAAGTATTAACCTGCTATTTGAAGAGTTTCACCTATTGCCTGATAAGGGGAGCCAATGGACTCCATATATGATCCATATGAGCCCCACTAATGTGATCTATAGTTGTGGTAGAGAAACTATCATAACTGTACAGCTTAGCTTCAGCATTATGGTTTTCTCTGCATTACAATAAAATGATCTTTTCTCTTTCTATTTCCTGGGTTTATTTGTTAGCATGCATATTTTGACCTCATAGTTGAAACCATGCATCTGAATCTCATCACCTGAACTGATCAAAGGCTGCCACTTTTGTTTGTACTTGTTTTGTGGCCTGTGCATTTGTACCTACAGTCAGTAACTCCTGTGCTTGTTAGTGGTTACAGATTACTGCGTGAGACTTAAAATTACAAATGCAAAATCAAAACGCGTCAACCTTGTTTGCTCTATTTAAACAGTTAATAAAAACATGACTGTTTGAGAGGATTAATTAGATTTTAATGATCGGGTGACTGGCCTAAGACCAAGTGTGCTTTTGGCAGGCCTCGAAACCCAATTTCTGGATCATAGGTTGTGCATGCATAATGAGAAGGCTGTTTTTATTGGATTTATAATTCCAACTGATGAATTCCAAATTCAAGAAGCCTAAATTGGGACAAACTCAATTAGTTTTTCTCAAGCAGCCAAATTATTCTTGCTATAGGTTTGAGCCCGATATGCTGGCATTCTCTGGATGCTATTATGGTGGAGGTGACAAGGAAAGGAAGGAACTTGGTGCAATAAGGAAGAGGTGGAAAACTTTACATGTAAGGCTCAATTGATGTACCCTTCCACCACCAATTTAAAACAAATAATTACCCTACTTTCATCATCAGGATATTGACAACCTGAAGTTCAGTTTTCATTGAAATTACTTAATTCTGAAGCATTTGGAAATTTGATTTAGTGTTGAATCAAAACCTAAGTGAATTTTACTTCCCTGAGTGAATTATTTGGCTTCTGTTATGTGTGTTTGTACTTGGATCTGGAGCATCTAATGTGTTTATGAGTTTATCTTCATACATTTGCAGGTAAGTAACCCTGATAAGGAAAGGAGGCATGGAAAATGCCCGCTGACTCCAAGAGAAATTGGCCTTATGTTGAGAGCTCTGGGTTATAGCAGTGACATTCATATTTACGTGGCATCTGGAGAAGTGTATGGAGGGGAAGAGACATTGGCACCCCTAAAAGCACTCTTCCCAAACTTCTATACAAAAGAGACTTTAGCCAGCAAGGAGGAGCTGGAACCATTTTCTTCATTTTCTTCAAGAATGGCTGCACTTGACTTCATTGTTTGCGATGAAAGTGATGTATTTGTTGCCAACAACAATGGTAACATGGCTAGAATATTAGCTGGAAGAAGGTACTTTGACTTCTCCATCTCTTTTCTTCATTCTTCTTTGACTCTTTTTTTTTCCTGTTATTAGGGACTAATTTTTAAATTTCCTTAAATTGCAGGAGATATTTTGGACACAAACCTACCATTCGTCCAAATGCTAAAAAGCTATATAGATTGTTCTTGAACCAAACAACCATGTCATGGGAAGCATTCACCTCTAAAATGCGTACTTATCAGAGGGGCTTCATGGGGGAGCCAAAGGAGGTGAGGCCGGGTAGGGGAGAGTTTCATGAGAACCCACACACCTGCATTTGTGAAGATTCTGAAGCCAAAGCAAAGAAAGATTCAGGACCTGGAAAACATGGAAAGGGGTATGATGATGTATTAGGCGATGATGAGCCAGAATTGCCTGATCCTGATGATGATGGATACCAAGATGGCTCTCAAGAGAAAGAACAGTTCAATGGAACAGGTATGGATTATGATGGAATCACCAATGAAGACCCCGAGTTAGAAGAAATTCTTTCAGACTAGACAGTGCTACACTGGGTTCTTTGCTGTGCTTAAACAATTCTTTTGTTGAATGTTCAAAAGATCATGCTGCATATGCCCAACCTGCTGTTTATAAAACTGCCAGGGTTTAGATCCCTAAAAGCCGCCCCCCGGCCTCGGAACAACGCAACAATATCAAGACACAACACTGAGCTGTTTTAATGAGTTATGACTTAGGAACATCTCCCGTAAGGTGTGATCTTGAGTTCAACATCATATCTTTCACGAGCCTTCAGAGTTCAGCCTCTTTGCAGTGAAATTCAGGGAACGGGTGAAGACGTCGTCTAAGAAGGGTTCTGCCCTTCTCGGTTTTAGACTTCTGCTAGATTGATGGCTGTCTGTTTTGGTGTCTTAAGAGTGAGATTAGTGTCCCGCAAAGCTGTTCTCTTGCCAGAGGCTGTTAAGCAGCGACATGTGTGTGTACATTGCTGATTGGAATTTTCTTTTTATACATATTTTCTTTGGAGGCTAGTCATCATTGATAGTTGGAGAATTTGTTGTAAAAACTAGAATGTAGAAAATTTTGGTGCTCTTACCGTTCCTTAACCTAGGTGAATCTAGTTCACCATCTAATTGATTTATAAGAGTTTTACTGATTTTGGATGGTTCTGTTTTGTTTTCTATCAGAGCTCATCAATAGCAGCGCCTGTTTCCAAATGTATAGGGGATTGAGAATTACTTTCGGAATAGTTATTAGGCCCCTTTTTCTCGGATCAATTTACACGTCAATATCTTCTTCACAGCATTGCCAGGTTTTTATATATATATATATTCCCTTGTTCGTGTAAAAGTAAAGAAACCCATGAATAGATATCGTAAATTCATAACAACGAGACTAGGGCCATGGCCCTCATGCTCTCCCTCATCGAGGTCACTCGGAGCAAGCTAGCTTTCTCGCCTTCACTCGGGCATTTCTTAAACCCAACCACAAGTGGGCCTCATTGAGCCCACCCTTTCTAGACAAACGTCATTACTTAACGGGCCTGCAAGACCAACCGGGAGAAAACAGAAAGAAAAATCAACAGGTTGCATGAAGAAACGTAGGTAGCTCCTCTCTGCTCTCATCATCGCAAGCAAAAAAAATGCAAGGAGGATCAACAGGCATTGGCTACGGCCTCAAGTATCAGGTGGTCACCATTCCAAGACCCTAACTCACTCGCCATTTCTTCAAATCTAACCCTAATCTCGTTCAAAAAATTCAATGTCCTTCAGGCAAGGTGCATATCAGATGTGAAGGCAGACACGGATCACACCAGCTTCATCACTGGAACTCTCAGTCTCAGAGAAGAAAACGAGGTCAAAAATATTTCTGATTTTTTTTTTATTGTTGACTATTTTGCTGGATCTAATGAGTGAAAATGTAATGTGGAATAGGTGCACTTGCTTAGGTTATCTGCAGGCGGAACTGAATTGATATGCGAAGGATTGTTTTCGCACCCTGAAGAGATCTGGAATCTCTCTTCTTGTCCTTTTGATCAGCGTGTTTTCTCCACTGTTTTCTCCTCTGGTATAATCAATCACTTAGTTTTTTTCTAATTATGTTTAAACAATTCAATTAGAGCGTGATCGATGCATTACTGTGCGTATGTGAGCTGAATTAGTCTGGTTTGTTGGGATTTTTTGGATTGAAGGTGAGTCATTTGGAGCAGCAGTGTGGCAGATTCCTGAGTTATATGGGCAGTTAAATTCTCCGCAATTGGAAAGGATTGCGTCTCTTGATGGACATGTTGGAAAGCTTAATTGGTGAGTTTGAAGTGTTCATGTGATGTGTGTTTTATGATGTGGGGTTTTGAGTTTTGTTCTTAACTTGTGGATTTTTGGATCCTTACATGGTTTTGTTGTTTGTCGCAAATGCCATATGTGGGTGCCCAACAGTGTCCTGTGGTGGCCATCGGGAAGGAATGATAAGTTGATAAGCATTGATCAGGAAAATATCTTCTTGTGGAGTTTAGACTGTTCAAGACAAGCAGCCCAGGTAGAGGTTGTACTGGGATATTTTGTATGATTATGTTTTTCATATTTGTGTTTATGATATGGTATAGGTATTTATTTTATGCAATGTGAAAATGATGGAAATTGGTGTTTTGAAAGATACCATTATGCTGTTGTTTGGTGACAGTGGATAGGATAAACTAGTGAAGTATAACTGTGCAAGTCTGTGATAATTCACTATTGAATTCTTGTGCTGATACTTATTCAGATGTTACTGAAAAATCTAGGTGCAATCGAAAGAGTCGGCTGGTATGCTGCATTACTTATCTGGTGGAGCCTGGGATCCACATGACGTGAATGCTGTTGCAGCAACTTGTGAATCCTCAGTCCAGTTTTGGGATCTACGGGCGATGAAGTAAGATAGTTCTGCATATCTTTTTATTTTATTTTTTATTTAACTTATCTATTAATAATAGCCAGCATTCCAAGTCCTGAACTGGAGGGTTGTTACCTCTTTAACTTGTGTTTGACTTTAATACAGATGAATTAGTTTTAAAATTCTGTTTTTTATTATTAGTTTTATTATTATTTTGAGTATCAGCTTGTTGCCTACTAGTTTAGCTTTATGAACATTTCACTACATCAGTGGTTGAGAATCTGAATCTTTTTTTTTTACAAAATCTTGATTGGTGTTTTGGAACTACTAATTAGCTTATGTCTTACCATTAAGACAGATGCATGTCAATCATGTCTAACGGTATGGTTTATGTGTTTACAGGAAAACAAATTCAATTGAGCGCGGCCATGTTCGCAATGTAGACTATGACACCAGGAAGAAACATATACTTGTAAGTGCTATGCTGTAACTCTGTTTTCCTCTAGAAATGCATCTGTGAATCGATATATAATATCATATATCTGTAGCAGTGAAGAAATATACTTTTTTGGAGCAGTTGAAGGCATCAAATCATAAACTCTTATTCAGAAAGATTACTAGATAGATAGTTGGTGTTTCGTTGCGGGCCGGGAATAATATTCTATAATATAAAAAAGTGATACTTAAGCATTGTCAGTGTATTTTAAAGAAGAGAAAAAAATTCACCACTTGATATTATAAAAAGAAAATTTGAAAAAAAATAGGATTGCCAATCTCCAAGAATCAAAACATACAAGGATGAAATCTATAAAAAATCTAGTTAATAAAACGAAGTTTAAAAAACAAAAAACCAGTAAATCCAAGTGAGGTCGTCAAAACTTGCAAATAAAATCATATGAACATGATGATTCAATAAAAAAAACGGTGTATTGACTTGTGACTCAGGTGACCTAGGGCTTGGGACGAGTCGGGTTTCAAAAAAAATTTGATGAGAATTGATTTGATGTGGAACAATTAAAAATACAGATTGGATTGACCGGTAACATGATTAACCCATGACAAACCTAGTTAAAATTAGTTTGATTATTTTCATTTATTTTCTTTCTTTTAAAATAATGTTGTTTTTATTTTTTTAATAAAATAAAAGAATTTATATGAATTGGGTTAACATGAATCAACCCACTTGACATGTGACCTCATACTTGCCCTGTATCGACTCCTAGAAAATGAGAGGATGATTTACAATTTTGAATTAAATGGAAAAATCAAAAAGAAAAATACAATTAACATAAGAATCCAAAACAAAAAATAAAATTCAAGAGAACAAAAATCAATTTTGAAAAAATAAAAAAACCAAGATTATGGATCCAAGAATGATAGTGAAAACAAATTAAAGTTTGATAAAGGAATTAAAAATTAAAATTTGAAATCAAAGCATTGAAAGAATCAGAAGACGTGTTTTTCAGTTCAAATTCCAGCCACCACTACAATGGCCAAAAAATTGGGCCTATAGGTTTTTTTATCTAAAATAATTGTTTTTTAACTCATTTCAATCACAAAACGCTCTTAGAACACCAAAAAACTAACATGTTAACTCATTAAACCCAAAATACAGTCTAAACCACTGAATAAAACCGGAAAAAATAAAGCATCATTGAACTAGATCTGATTTTTATGCTACATTAAGGTTTATAACAATCACCATAAGACTTTTCTCACCTAGTGGAACTTGTTGACATCAATGTTAACTTATTTAGTGGTTAGAATTGTCACCAACAAAGAGCTTTCTTTTTCTTTGTTGGAATTTGACGACTGCTCTCTCTTCTTACATGAAAAAAGAATTGCAAAATAAGAAAAATAAAGTTTGTATCAAAAAATAGTTGTAAAAAATTAAAGAGATCGGTCACCTTATAGCATAAGCTATAAAAAGTTCGGGGACTAAAATATTCTTTATAAACAAATTTGAAAGCACACCTATATTATCTGTATTTCTCATTTTAGTCCCGTGTCTTTCAATTTAACCAACCCTTTTTCCAAAAAAAAACATATTATTGGGTCTAATTTTGATTCAAAAGAGCTCACTCGTGTAAAGAAAATATTTGAGGATGAAATTAAAAATTTTGAAAAAAATAACTACTCCAGTCCACGGTCATATGTGAAAAAATAAAGAGTGATTTTTATGCACCGAGAAAATGCCACGAGCTTTAGTTTTGTTGATATAATGACAGTCCTTCAGTTGTATAAATTTGGAGAAAACTACAATGGAGAGCATCAGGGCATTGGTCTTTCGGAAATGTGCTTCAAATGCAAAGAATAATTTTCCGTTATAAAGTTTATTCTATCGGGAAACTTCGTGAACTTCAGAATCTGTGAAAATAACCTTGTTAGATAATGTTGTTCTTTGGCAATAATACCATCATACCACTGCCCTTTGAGATCTATTGGCATTAATGAATTAATCGTTGCAGGTTACCGCAGAGGATGAATCTGGGATACACATTTGGGATCTTAGAATGCCCAAGGTTCCTATAAAAGAGCTTCGTGGACATTCACACTGGTAATCCATTTCTTGAATGATGCAGTTCTGATGAGCTATTCTGGCCATATGGTTGCATGTGTATTATATGTTCTTATTAAGTTAGATGTTTTCTATCGGCTCCTCCTCCAGAGTATAAAATTGTTAAACTTCAATTATTTATAGTTCTCTCACTGTGTTTCCAAATGTTGGCAGGGCATGGGCTGTCGCATGTAACCCTGAATATGATGGACTGATCCTGGTACTCTCTCTTGCTTTCTCTCTCATCCCCCACAAATACACACACACACCATCCTCTTCCATATTAGTCACTAATGATCACCTTTTATCTAAAAATGTCAAACACAATCGAGTCCAAAGGTGGAAAGTCAGCAAACTTTTCTAAGTTCATTGTTTGCATTGCCTGTAAGCTTGTGCTCTCTCAAATGGACAGCGCTTATAGAATACGGGAAGTATAAAAAACTGGTCACAAGTATCACTGTTTCTTGGCTGTTTATGTATCATCAGTTATATGCCTTAGAATAAGGCAGTGGGGGAGATACCCTTCCATTTGAAGTCATTCGTTGTCTGGATGGTGGTTACGATAAACAAGTTACGCTGTCCCTTCTAGCTATCCTATTTATTAACATTTTCCTGACCAAAGGTAAGTTATTGCAGAGTGGTGGTACAGACTCGACTGTCAATTTGTGGTACGCTTCTACGACAACCAGTGATGAGTTGACATCTGAAAGGTCATTTTTTCTTATCTGTTTACCAGATGCGTAACTCTTGACTTTGTCGTTCTTCTTTTTACTGATATCTCATCAATGTGTTTGTATTGAGCAGTGTGTTTAAATCACCGACTCAGGAACTTGATCCATTGCTGAACTCATTCAGTGACTATGACGACAGTGTATATGGTAACGAATGAAGCCATATGGTATCTTTAAACGTCAAATTTTAAAATCAACCTGACCAGTAACCTCTGATGATAGGGCTTGCTTGGAGTTCTGAGGAACCTTGGATTTTTGCATCTTTATCCTATGATGGGAGGGTAAGATCACTATTCCTTTACTGTAGCGATAAACATTAGAAGTGTTAGAATTGTACCACTGATGATTAGCCTCATGTTTTGCAAAAGGCATACATCTTCCAGGCCCAGGCCGCCAAGTAAATTATTGGTTTGATGCCTTTCATGCCTAGGCTATGATGGGCCGATGATTGTTATGTTGAATATCACAAAGCATTATTTCCCTTGCATTACTATCAGAAGTTTCAAGTTGAATTGCATTTACAGAGTCCATTTTCTTATGTTAAGGGTGTGAGGCATGTCTTGTCGGTTCTGGAAGCACGGTGCACTGGTTTTGTTCCAGAATCTGTGTCAAATTATCCACGTTGTGGATCCTTTGCTCCCACTACTACACACTATGGATTTTAGATTGCATTGGGAAACTCCTTTGACCTTTGTTCACAATCTAATTAATTAAATTGATTGTCATGTCTTGCAGGTTGTGGTAGAATCAATAAAGGCTTATCTCCCCAAAAAATGAATTCATCGCACATATGCCCTTTGTTAAACCATCTTCTGGCAGTTTCCACCAACACTAAATGTCAGGTAGGACTCCATTGAAAAAACAATTCTGCAATGAATTCTTATCATGTCAATGCAAGTTTCATTGTACTCTTAGATGCTGAAGAGCTTTTTTCGTTACATTTGACGCTATATTGACACCAAGCTTGTCCCGTGTATATTGTATACTAACTCTGCAAAATGCCCAAATTCTTTTTTATCAGGGGAATCCATGAGAACATGATTTGTTAATTTCACCTGATCGTATACTAATCCAGCGAAAATCATTTTCCTATATCATTTTTTGAAGAATCTCAACCATTGAGTTTGAGGAACCAGCCTTGAGGATCCAAAATCTATGGAGTGATGATTTCAGGGACAACCTTTTCTAAAACTGGTACTTGGGGGTGTTTTTAGATGCTCTTTTAAAATGTTTTTGGCTTGAGGAAAATTTAAATTAATTTTTTTTAGTGTTTTTTATGGTTTTAATGTGTTGATGTTAAAAAAATTATTTTGTTATATTTTTAAATGAAATTTTATTTAAAAAAAGTACTAACATAATTTGGATGAGATTAGAAACCATGGATTTTCAAATAAAATGTCATTCTGCGAATTAAGGGTTGGTCCAATACTAAACCACTTTGCTTTGCTCACGTCGTCGAATAGCCTGGTGGGTTCAAATTGAAACACCGAGTCCTTGATGGCAACTCTACCTCCAGGAGCTCTATTTCCAGCCTTCTACTTGATAGCGTGACACAAAATTACAAGTTTCAGCGGGTTCTTTTTTTAAAAAAATTAGTACAGTAAATTAAAAAATATAATAAATTAATGTAGGTTTAAAAAATATGGTGAAATAGCATTGCTTGATTATGTTACATTTTAAAATGGTGAATCTTAGTAAATATTGCACTTCTAAGCTGCAACATGCTACAACATGACCAAACTCTAATTTTTTATCTTAACTACTCAACTAATTAAATCTAGTTGCATTAATCAATTAACTGTTTATATAAAAACTATAATTTTATGAAATTTATTTTTAAAATATGTTTTAAACTCTAATTTGTTAATAAAAAAATATTTTCAATTAAAATCTTTAAAAGTTATTATTATATAGTTAGTAATTTTGAACAGTTAGATATGAGTTTGACATAACTAAATAAAAATTTATCTCAAACAAATTACATAGATAACATAACAAATATATTTATGAACTAGTGAAATAGGTTTAGACTTAAAAAAAGATCTGATCGAGCAAGGCTACAATAATAGCTCAAAATAACTATAACTTTTAATCCACCATTATTTGCATTTAAATTTTTACAAGAGTTTCAGAAAATTGTTTTTCTTGTAATAGCTATTGTGTAGCTACACAAATAGTTGGATTTTTAAATATAAAAAATGTCTCCAAGATCCCACGGTTTTAATAATTTTAAAATTTTTCTTATTATTTTTTAAATTAATTGACTAGTTAAGTCAGAAATAACACAATATAACCATTTAATAAATCTTGTGTTTTTGAAGCATAGTATAATAAAACTATAATATTTTACCAAATATATATTTATTCTTAAATTTTTTAAATTTATCGTGCTAATTACCTAATTTATTCGGTTTCAGCCTTGTATTGTTACAACGACTATTAAACAAGAGCCACGTGTAAAAAGGAGAAAGGAAGAAGGAATGGTAAAACACTAAAGTTAGAATTGTCTTCTGACGTGTATGATTTATCACAAGGTTGGTATCATGCTGAACTAATTTGAATTTTTTTTCTTTAAATTAGTATATTTTTAATATATTTTTTCGAGTAAAAAATATTTTAGAAAGCAATCGCAACCACACTCCCAAGTATGATTATTCAATATACAATTCTATAGTTTCAAGATTTTAAAAAAAATTAAAATAATATAGTTTTGGAAAAAATTAAATCAAATTAAATTTTAAATTTTAAATGGCTAACTTTTACTCCATTTAATTTGAAATAAAATATAAATTAACAAATCATCAAATTAATCATTAAATTAGGCTCGATTTAACATCTCAGGCCCAAATTGAACCCACACTCACCTCTCTTTTTTGAAATCCAATGTGTCTTAATTTGTGTTTGATATCTTAATATAATGTTATTTTTTAAAATATTTTTTATTTAAAAATATATTAAAATAATTTTTTTAATTTTTTTAATTTTAATATTAACATATTAAAATTATTACAACATAAAAAAATATTAATTTAATATTTTTTAAAATCAAATATATTTTTAACAACTAAAAGGCTGTTTAGTGTTGTAGCTGTGAGTGAGGTTCATCTGCAACCATGTTTATTACCGCTTGGTTAAAAAAAATAATAGTGATTTATACTGATAAAACCCACTAATTTTACAACTATATCGCAGGTTTTGTAGAAGCAGCATTTTGCTGCTTCTCGTGGGGGGAGGATTGCTGAACAGCGAAGCCATACTCTACTGTTTACGTGAACAAATGAAACATTCTTTCTTGTTTTGGTTGGACTGGGCATGATCCAAAGCTTAAAATATATTGAACCGGGTTTTACCCGGCTAAAAAAATAATTTTTTTTATTTTTAACTGTGTTTTATTAAAAAAACAGTGTTAAACATTATTCAACAACACTACATAAATTAGATAAAATTCACTTGATGATGTAGTATTTGCAGAATTTGATAGTAATCCAAATTTGTTTTCTGATTATATTTTACCTGATGTTGTTGCGCTCTTAAAAAATATGTAAAAATTATAATCTTTGTTGTATATATTTTACACGTAATGAAATTGTAGATAGTTTAATAAAATAATAAAAAATATTATTTATTTCATAATATAATAACAATAATTAAATCTATAATATTTAAATTAAAAAATATCAATATTAATTTATATTTTTAAAAATTATTTTATAACCTTAATTTCAAAAATATTTTTAACTAAATACATTAAAAATATTTTTTATTTAATTTTAATTAAATATATATTTTTTTAAATCAATCTTAACACTTTTTATAAAATAAATTGTTTTTAATCAAAACTGTAACAACTACATAATACCAAATACAGTCAGTAACAGCCACTCGGTCTCCGTAGTCAATCAAATGTCTCGCCTCCTCTTTTTAAATTCCGCGATATTCTCTCCTTTGCCCCTCCATTTTTTAATTTATTTTACCAAAATTCCAAGCTTCCACTCTATCCTTCTCTCTCTCCTTCCACAATAAACCACTCTCGCAGTCTCTTGGATGACATTTTCTAATTAATGGCTGTGAGTTCCAGTGGTTTTACGACTCACCCCGATTTCAAGCGCAGCCGACTCAGCAGTTCTCCTTTCCACGATAACAATAACGGACTTGAGTTGAGGAAGAAGAAGCGGAGACTGAGCCTGTTCCTTAACGGTAATGGAGTTCGGGTGAATCGAATCAGTAGTTGCTGTTGCTCTGACTCAGTGGTTCGCAGAGCATCCGGGTCGGGTAATAGCATTGATAAAACCGAGGAGAAACGCTCTCATAGAAGTCGTGTCCGAGCCATTACTGCATTGCCATTTCCCTCTCCTCAGTACGTACAACACCGTATTTACCCCCTTTCTTGATGATATTTCTTAGGTTTATTGATCAATTTCATTTTTTTTTAAATAAACTTTGGAGGTCTCGCTTCGGTACGAAACAAGAGAAGTTTTATTCGAGATGTACGCCGATAAATTCCGGCCCACGGTCGCGAGATACACCGCCGAAGAGAGGTAATTAGCGGTGATTGAGTTGGATTTTGCGTTAATTGTGTGTTTTGAGCAATGATTGGGTTAATGTAGATACTGGTATTGCGAATGAGAAAGATATGGGAATCAACTTGTTAAACGAGAAAGTGAATGAGAGTGGGATTAATGAGGATGGAAGTAGTTGGTTTCGAAAAAGTGGAGAGGATCTTGGCGAAAATGGTTATAGATGTAGGTGGAAGAAGATGGGTGGTCGATCACATGATACTTCTTCTCAATGGGAAGAAACGGTATAATCTTTTAATCTTTTAATTTTTAATTTTTAATTTTTGCTTGTTTGAGCATATGTTTTGATATTTTGCCCCATTTTCGTACTATCCATCCGATATGATTATAGCGCCAATATTGCAAAATTAAGTTCACTATTACTCACTCTGTTGTCGGCCCTCCCATGATCAATCCACCTGTCATTTGAATTGCACCATAGGAAAGGTTGTTGATTCAATGCTACTTAAAAAAAAAGAAAAATTACGAGGAACTTGCATCTTGGCTCTGCTCCTTTCCTTGTCCTCCAGTGTAGGAATGGTGATATAGGTTGTGCATTCCTGCTTTTTGAAATGTACAGCTCGATTTTCTGAGTCAATTGTCATATTTTTGTATTATTTTTAAATCTTTGTTATTTTGGGATTGATATTAACCTCAGTAGAGTATCATCCCAGGTGGATGCATTTAATTGGATTTATTGATCTCCTTGACAGTGGTGGGAGAAAGGCGACTGGACCGGATACAAAGAGCTAGGTATATTGCTTGTCTTATCATTGACATGATATGATGAGTAGTTTCAATTTTATTGGGTTGGAAATTTAATCATATTGAGGCTTTCACCCTCATTCGAGATGATCTTTCTCAGGTGTGGAGAAATCTGGAAGAAATGCTGAAGGGGACACGTGGTGGGAAAAATGGCAAGAGATGCTTCATCAAGATGAATGGAGGTTTAATTCCATCTTGTTTCCTATCTAAATAAGATTGAAAGTTTTGCCAAGAATGGTTGTCTTCAGTTAATCACGTGTGGAACTTTTCATTAATAAATCACCTGTCTTATTTTGTTACTGCAGTAATCTTGCAAGAATAGAGAGGAGTGCACAGAAACAAGCGAAGTTGGGCACTGAAAATGCTGGATGGTATGAGAAATGGTAAGCTAATATTCCGATACAGAGTCAATATGTTGAGTATGAGTTATTTTGGTCAAGCATGCAACTGAGCAGAACAACAAATCCATTTATTAACTGCACTTTAATTTTGGACTTAGGTGGGAAAAATATGATGCTAAAGGTTGGACTGAGAAAGGGGCAAATAAGCATGGAAGATTGAATGAGCAGTCATGGTGGGAGAAGTGGGGGGAGCATTACGATGGAAGAGGCTCCGTCACAAAATGGTTCTTGCATTCTCCATTTTATCTTTTCTTTGGACCCCAATCTATTTTTAGCCAGCTTGCTATTTTGGACTTTTTAATACCCAGTATCATCGGCCATTTAAAATTAATAATCCATTAGTATCATAAGAAAATAGTTTTTGAGATCAGTCATAAACAGTTGAAATTGTCTGTTATTCAGGCTGGACTGTTAGAGTAGATTTTTTTCTGGATTCTAGATGCTGAAGTATGGCGCAGTCAATGTAGGAAGGAGGGTTATCATAAAATATGTGCAAAACCTGAAGATATGAATTAATTGTTTCCTTAAAAAAAAAAAAAACATTTAGGTATTAGTCAGTATTTGAGTGATGATATAATAAAAGTACCTTGGAAAATATATGAAACGGAAGTGATCTAGAGTTTTCAATGGAACTTCCTTTCTTTGTACCACTCTGCTTTGGGAATAACAAAAGATTGCACCAAGTTTTATATCTCCACATGTTTCTCAATTAACTTCGTAATTGGAAGAGCTCGAAAATAGTTTCACCAAGTTTTATTTTTTTCTCTCCTCAGGACAGATAAATGGGCTGAGACTGAATTGGGAACCAAATGGGGAGACAAGTGGGAAGAAAAGTTCTTTGCTGGCATAGGTTCGCGGCATGGGGAGACATGGCATGTTTCTCCTAGTGGTGGAGGTATGTTTTTAATCATGTTATATGCTCCTCTATCCTAGCTTCCTGTAATTATTTATGTTGATTGTACTTTAGACTACTGCCTTTGTTTACTAGAAATGTACATCAAGTACATTCTTCATAGGGGTGCATAATTTTCTCAACATGCCTTCTCTTGTCCTCACTGATACGAGAATTGCTCAGTTTCATAAGATACTCTCATTACTCATACATTAAGGTGGATACTTGTCAACATTCACAGTTAGTTTGTTGCCTGTCAACATTTACAATCCAGGAAAGCAACCTTCTCTAGATATCCATTAGCATTTGTTGCTATCTTCTTTGTGATCGTCAGGTTATATATATGAAAGACTCTTAACTTGCTAGATTTTTTGAAACAAGGTCTAATTAGTTAGTGATTCCTACATTGAAGAGTATCTTTCCACTAGAGCTTCAAACTTGTTTTTTCTCACCATTCGCCTGGACATTAAGCAACTCAGTGCATCAGTGATGTACACTCGTAGAACAGGAGTCTGGTGTAACTTGCACGATCACTGAAATGTTCATGTTTGACTTTATTTGCTTAGTTCTTGGAGTCTAGTGTCACTTATTGTGTTTCATGTCCAGGCTGGTCAAGGACGTGGGGAGAGGAACATCTCGGGGACGGGTATGGAACTCAGTATGTATGAGTTTTTTTCTGTATGTGCTGTATTGGGAACTGCCAGTCTGATGTTTCTTTATGCCTACCAGGAAAGTTCACAAATATGGAAAAGGCACAGCAGGTGAAAGCTGGGATATTGTTGTGGACGAGGAAACCTATTATGAGTAAGAACGTGCTTTTCTTAGTCACTGAATTTGGCTAATCAAAAAGTACTTGTACTAAAGATGTAAATTTCTTTCTTGGAACTATTACGAATTGGATTAACTAGCAACTTTTTTGGTTTGGACAAAAGGGCTGAACCCCATTATGGATGGGCTGATGTCGTGGGTGGTTCAAGCCAGTTGCTATCAATCGAACCTCAGGAAAGGCCACCTGGTGTGTACCCGTATCTCGATTTTGGGCCGTCACCTCCACCTTCAGCTGATGAATCGCTGGACTTGCCTCCCCCTCCCTTGCAATGAAGACCTGATTTTTCAGGCTCCTCATTTTCTTGTAGGTGTTTCATATTTATCTCATTTAATTTCGATCGTATTGTTTGAAATGTCTCACGTAAGAGTAATTAGTGGTGTATGTCAATATATTCATTCTTTGGATGATAAAGGCATCCATTCAGGTTTTGTGCAGTTTCTAAATATTGGACAGTATATTATTTCCCCTGAAGGTAGGATGGGTGTAAGACGTTATTTTTAGTCTTTAGATGTTCTGAGTTAGAGCTCCATTTTTGGAAAAAACATGGTTGAGTCCCTTGAAATGAGTTGATTGTTTGCTTCTGCTGTTGTCTTTAGTAGGTGAAAATTTGAAATTTGAGTAGAAATGATTTATATTTTAACAAGAAAGCAAATTAAATTGTCATGAAAAACTATTGAAATAACTAAGTTACAAAGAAAAAAAATACAGGATTTATCAGGTTTTTAAAAAACAATTGAATTGTCATGGAAAACTAATAGAATAATTAAGTTACAAAAGAATATATAACTTTAAACAACATATATTAAAAAATAAACTATAGAGATTGATAGTTATTGTACTAAAATGTATGAATTCAATAGTAGTTTACTACAAAAACTTATAGTCGGTGTTCAAATTGGAATACAGTTGTTGAAATTGGCTAGATGGGTTGACTTAATAAACTATTGTGATTAAAGTCAAATTTTAATTTCAATTGACTAGGTCAAGTTTGAATAACTTAGGTTGTTTCACAACATGATTGACTTAATCAAGTCATGTGCTTGATAATGATAAAGTGTTTCTTATTTCAAATTAATTTAGAGTTTGTTTAATACTGTAGTGGTTGTTGTTTTTTAAAATATTTTTTTTAAAAAAATTTATTTTTGTTATCAACGCATCAAAATGATATAAAAATATCATAATAATAATAATAATAATTTAAAAAAATAAAAAAAAGTAATTTTTTTTCAAAAAATATAACAATAAATTTCTTGAGTAAAGGGTAAAAACTATATAAAAATAAATTTCTTGAGTAAAGGGTAAAAACTTGAGGCAAATCTTTTTGGAAGTTAAATTACTAGGAAAACATCCTTGGTCTAAAACTAGCTATTTCTTAAAAGATGAAATTATAATTTCATCACTCTTTTTCCCGGAGAAAATCTCATTTTCCCCCCCTCTTCTTTCTTTCCAAACAAGAGAAAAATCTTGAAATTTGTGTTTTCCTTCTCATTTTCTTTTCACCTTTTCTTCCTAAACACAATGTGAAGATCGTAGAGACAAGCTTAGGTATCTGATGATGATTTTTAGAAAAAGTTAATATTTTTATTTAGTCTAGGAAATTGAATACTATTTTTGATAGTTTTATTTTGTGTAGTTTATTTGTGATTTTTATTGTTTTTCCTTTATTTTTTTAGTTTGTTTAGGTTAGTTTTTGAATTTATTTAAGGAGTTGTGACCCTTGTAGAAAGATAAAATACTTAAAAAAAATTCAATAATAAAATTATAAATTAGGGTTTCTATGTGATCCTTTCTTTTGAAAAATTACTGTTATTGTATTTTTTTTATTGTTTCTATATGTGTCAATTAGATGACCAAACTTGATACATGTTTAATATATAGTTATAAAATCTAACTTGGTTAGTCTAATTAATTTAATTACTCATGAATCTTACTCAAGTTAGATTTTATTTCAAATGTTTTTTTTTTAAAACCAATGTTATTTTGATAAAAAAAAAATAATCAAACTAACCTATCAATCTATAAATTAATGCAACAAGTTGGCTGTTCAAGTATTTTCAAATCTTGAATTAGGGTGAACCTTCTACCTATAATCTTGAGTTCCTATTCTTTCAATTGAAAAATCAAGTTAATTTAATAAATTTTTAAAAATATAGTGGAGGTTATTTTTTAAAAAGTTTTTTGTTTTAAAATATATCAAAATAATATTTTATTTTATTAAAATTTATTTTTTATTTTAACATATCAAAACAATCTAAAAAAAAATTAAAGCTAAATTTAAAAAAAAATTAAAAATAAGATTCGATGGGATGTCAAGTCTCATCCAAGTAATACAGAGTTACCTTGGGTGTGGGATCAACAAGGAAATCCTTCTTGGAAACGCAATCATTTTCCACTCTTGTCTTTTTTTCAAACGCACACCACTCGTTTTCCACAACGCGTTATCAAATCCCTTTGGTTGAAATTTGAAGTCAAGAAAAAAATACCTTGGCAAGTTTCCTTTCCCGTATTACAAAAAAAAGAAGAAGGGGGGGGGTGGGGGATCATTTTCTTACCTCGAAACAGAAGACTTTGTCAAATAAAAATTAGTTGCGAGCTCTTTCATAGTTATTTGTGCTAAAAGGATAATGATACAAAAAGAAAAGACCAAACGTGAGGGATGACGAAGGAGTGTTGAGTTTAATTAAATCGTGATTAGTTTGATGATCTTGTCTCTTAAAATTTAATTCAACACCTAACTGTTTCCTGAAAAAAAACAAAAGTAACGGCGGCTAGTAGATGGCCAAACTTGCAATTAATGAACGATATATTTGATTAATTTGAAGCTGAATTTATGGTTTAGACGTTAAAACATGAAATAATACATTTTTTTTTAAATTTTAACCGTTATAGGGCAGTTCAGGTTTTGTAATTATGATTAAATTATAATTTTTTTTTCCGAGAATGAAATCATAAATAAACTTGATTTCATTAACTATGTCATGAATAAGCAAATGAATCATAGGCACGGTCTAGTTTGTCATGATAAATAATAATAATAATAGTAAAAAAAGTATAAAAAACCCAAGAACTCCAAAGCATCCTCCCATTATCCCATAATTAAAACCCCGTGGACCGTGAGCCTCTGGCCTTTTACCAAACCAGATGAGGCCACTCGCTCCCACCCAGAAACCACCATTACAAAACCAGACCATAACGCCCAAATTTCCTTCAAGTTTTTCAGCAATTTTCCCCTTCATGGGCGCAGCCAAAACCAGGATCCAACCCTTCTTCTTCACCTGCAAAACGTGCTAGTCTAATCCCCACAAAAAATGATGACCATACCTCCTTTCATGTCCAGATGGTTCTCTGATCTATATTGGAAACCTCTCCTCTTCACCATCCCTCTTCTTACTCTCCTCCTGTTCTTCACCGTCTCTTCGACACCCATCAACCCTTTTTCCTCTTTTGCCCCCCTCGCTTCCCACTTCCTCAACAAAACCGCGTCCGTGATCACCCTCCCCCTCACCACCACTACCACAACGACAGCAACAACAACAACAACATCGAATTATCCCTCAATTGCTCCCCCGGGTTTGGCGCCTGTGAATCGCAGTGCGTCAACTTCGTTGAAAGATGAGTTGGGTCGGTCGAGAATGGCGGTGTGTTTGGTTGGCGGGGCCAGGAGGTTTGAATTGACTGGACCCTCCATTATCAAGAATATTCTCGAAGTGTATCCAAATTCAGACCTTTTTTTACACAGTAATTTTGACGACAAAGCCTTCAAATTTTCTCTCTTGAAGTCTGTTCCTAGGCTTGCCTCTGTCCGGATCATCCATCCCAAACCTCTGCCTGAGACCTTGCCTCAGCTCCGTGTCCTCACTGCTGCTAACTCTCCTAATGGCATACAGGTCTGTTTCCCCTTTTAACTTCCTTGATTTGCTTTATATTTTGCTTTGAATTCCATTCTCAAAGTTTGTTTTTTGTTTTAATTCATTTTCTGTATGTTAATGATGGATTAGCTCTTTTTTTTTTCTTTTTTTTTGGTATAATTACATTATTTATCTAATTTGTTTCCATAAATTACAATTTATGGAAATTTTTTTGGTCTCTTCTTATGTTTTCTCTTCAAATTTATGATAAGGTTGTGAGAATTTTCTGACTTTTATTTTTGTTTTTATAAATAGTTCCATAGCCTTTGGACTGTTGTTATCGCTGAAATTTCAAGGAAAGAAACAAATTTTCCCTTTGTATAAATTTCCAGGAACAGTTCATATATATATATATGCGAACTATCACTGTAAACGTGTTAGTAAAATTCATTCACCATCAACTTGTTGTAATACTGTACCTGTCGTTTCCGTACTCGAATAACGGACAAAACGAAGGTGAATTCACGAGTGTGTGTCGTTTTTAATTGTTTCAGGGCCAGCTGCAATATTTTAATCTCGTAGAAGGATGTCTGACAATAATCCAGGAATACCAAAGCCTAAAGGGATTTAAGTATGACTGGATAATCCGTACCCGTGTTGATGGGTACTGGAATGCTCCACTGGGGCCTGAAAATTTCATCCCGGGTCACTACCTGGTTCCACCAGGATCTACTTATGGTGGCCTTAATGACCGGCTTGGCATTGGTGATCTTAACACCTCAACAGTAGCCCTTTCGCGTCTTTCGCTGGTTCCCCAGCTTGACGCTGCTGGATTTCGTCAGCTCAACTCGGAAACTGCTTTTAAAGCCCAGCTTACTACACAAGGTGTTCCTTTTGTTACTAAAAGATTGCCCTTTTGTATTGTTACTGATCGTAGATATGAGTTTCCTCCTAAACAGTCCGGGGTGCCGGTGGCTGCGTTGTCGAGTCCCGGCCCGTTAAGTGGTGCGAAATGCAGGCCTTGTAATCCTGTTTGTGAAGGGACTTGTGTAGGTAAAGTTATGACATCGCTTCATCAGGGTTGGAGTTGGACTAACTGGGAAAACGGGACACTTAAGTTATGTGATGCACATGGTGAGTGGGAGAGTCGGTGGGAAAAGATTTTTGATAGAGTTGCTGGGAAGGAACTTGCCTCCGGAAGGAAGAGGATCATGGGTCTAAAGGAGAAGCAATGTTTGGATGATTTTAATGAAATGAAGAAAAGGGCTTTCAAGTGGGATAGTCCTCCAGTGGAGGAGATATGTCGATTAGGCCTTGGACGGAATTAGAGGGGCAGAATCTTGATTATTTATTTCGGAGGTTAGTTTCTTGTTGATGTACAGGAATTAAGAGGGTTTTTGGGCAGGATATATATATATATATTTTAAAAAAAGTACATTGGATCGTAGACTTCATAGTGAGTTTTTACTGTTCCGTAAAAGTTATAATTGCAGGACTAGAGGAGTAGTCTTAAAGTTTCATAATGTTGTGTTATTCTTCGATGTGAGAACAGTCCACCAAATCCAAACTAAATATAGGCAAAATCAAGACAACTTCTACTCTGCTGCTGCCACCGTTGAAGCACTCTAGGCTTATGATTGCTGTTGTTTTTTAAAATTAATGTATTAAAATAATTTGAAATATTATTTTTTAATAAAAAAATTAAATTTGTTTCCAAACATTATTGATGCTGATTTTTTTACTCGATGACAGCATCTACGTTGTCAAAAGCAGGCTTTTCATGAACAGCTCAAAAGGACTGCCGTTTAAAATTTTTATAGCCCAGCAGGCTATCTTGTTCACAAAAGATTAGTAATTTTCTTAGTTTAAAAATTCCTAAAATAATTCTATAACTATTGATTCGAAATCTTTTCTTTTCAAGGTGCATCCAAATTAGTATAAATAAAGATATTTGAGTAGAATATTATATTTTCAAAAATAAAATTATGAATTAGAGTTAAATATGATAGCTGTACTTGGTTTTAATTTTATCTATTTATATTGCAATGATTAATCCATCACCCTTGAAGAAGAGGGGTATTAGAGTTTTTTTTTTAATGATTTTTTAATACTAAAACATAAAAAACAATAAAAAATATCAATTAAATATTTTTTCCAGCTAAAAATATCCAAAAACAAGGACACAAATTGTGTTAATCACCCCTACATGTGATATATATATATATACACAAATTGATTTAGAGTGGTCAAATGTATGCTAACCATTGATTATAATAAAAGGGAAACCATACAAGACTTCGAAATTCATATATTTTTTTCATTAAATTATTGTTTTACCGTTTGTTTGAACCGTATTTTATCAACCTCCACATGGTTGTTTTTTTTTTTTTTAAAAAAAAAAAACATTATTCCGCAGGTCCAGTTGACTTCTACATGTGGTAATATGACAAACACTTGATATCTACGCTAAGCAGTCAAATGTATGCTAACCATTGATTATAATAAAAGGGAAACCACACAAGACTTCCAAATTCATATATTTTTTTAATTAAATTATTATTTTACCATTTGTTTGAACCATATCTTATCAACCTCCACATGGGTTTTTTCCAAAACAAAAAAAAAACATTATTCCACAGGTCCAGTTGACTTCTACATGTGGTAAAATGAAATACACAGAAACCACTTGATATCTACGCTAAGCAATCAAATGTTTGCTAACCCTTGATATAACAAGGGGGAACAACAAACAAGACTTTTGCTAACCCTTGATTATAACAAGGGGGAACAACAAACAAGACTTCGAACTCAGTCACAGACAAATCCCATATAATATTTTCGATCCTTTAGCGTATCCCACTTCTGTCATATTCTATGATCGGAGAGGTTCCGTGAATTAATGGCTGGTGAATAATACAACGTAAGGGTTTCAACCTTGCTTCCCGTAAGTAAATTAACATAAATAAACTACGAGAACAATAACAAAATCATTGAAAAGAAAAACCCACAGAATCAATTTGAAAAATCAAATCAAATCCACCACTTAATCATACAATCAGGAGCAAAACCTGGGAAATCTCTTGTAGGGGCCAGGGCCTGCAAGCCCCCGTCTCCGCCGCTGCATAAATATAAACATTCAACTCTCAGATTTATTAGTAAAAGCCGAACTAACCATGCCCGATGTGATACGAAGTATATAGTCCATAAATTGCATCAAACCAAAAATTAAATCAAGTTCAAATCCAAACCGCCTACGAAATATGAAGCTGGCATGAATACGAAATAATGGCCGAAGGAGCCGCATAAAAAACCATGGGCCATTCGTTTGTGCCACTACAAAAAACAAAACCAACTGGGTCCACGCACATGCAGCATCAACCTGCTACAAAGGAGACTAGATAAAAACAGTAGTCACCACGTGCATCCATCCATCTATCTATCTATAAAGACAAACTCTAAGCCCAGGTAGGATAAACATAGCTGCGAGGATCATAGCCATAAGCGGAGCCATAGCCATAGTAAGTGGGTGGTCTCTTCGGATAGTAACTGGGCATGGCATAACCTGGGTGATAGCCTTGGTGATATGCTGGCCCTGGCTGATGGTAGCCTCCTGGGGGGGGATACTGGTAGCCATTGTTCATGTAAGGATTCATGTTTCCTGTCTCGACCCAGCATATGTCTGCATGTTTTCCTCCTTTTGATAACTTTTTCAGCAGCTTGTTTGGATCCACTCTACCTCTGATGTATGCCATGCCTTGTTCAACATCTATGGCGTAACTAACCCCTGAAGAAGATGGTAGTAAATTAACTTGCAATATCCAATCCATTGACTAACTAGAGATGAGATAATGGATGGAAATAAAATTAAGTACTTGCATGGTTACCTTTGATTCTTTTCAGCACTTTGGTTAATGTCCTATGCCATTCAGGGTCTTTGGTCTCCACTTTCAAGCCACAAGACTGCAAGAGAATTAACAAGTCATTAAAAATTGTAAAAGAAGAATTGATGGAAATGACAAGCATAAACAAAGGCTAACCATGTTCGAGTTGAGATGTGAAGCCATTACGCTCTCAAGAATTACAAGAGTTGACTTAACTTTGCTATGGAGTATGGGGCAAATGGGATTGCTGAAAGACATGCTAGGGTTTTTGGATCGTGTAGGCATTTATAGACTTTTTAAACCGATTGAAAATGAAAAAAATTAGTCAAGCAAAGACAAAATCTTCATGGGACATATTTAGTTTAGGCTAAAAGGACATGCAAATTATCTATTGCATTAATTGCTTTTTAATCGGAGAAGATGATTGAAAATTAAAAGATTTACTTTCCCTTCCAGAAATTATACTGGGGTGTTGATATTTCCCAAGCCCACGAAGAGTAAAGACGATCGAGCAAAGAGTGGAATGTGATTTTTACTTCTGATTTTAAAAATCATTCACATTTTGAGAGTGGGATGTGATTTGTGTGAAAGCATTTTAAATATATATTAGCTTTCATAAGATGAAGAAATTATGCTTGTTTTATTTTAGAAAATAAAAATAATTTCAAATGTTTTAAAATTAACTAGCTTCAGTTATTTTTTTATTTTATACGTAGCTTTTAGCTAGTGTTTAATAACATAATTAGTAATTTAAAAAATCTCAAAATTAACTAATTAATCTCAATTATTTTGTTTTAAGTATATTGAATCTCGGATTGTATGGATATTAATTAAGTTGGTTAGTTGTTCTATTTACTTGAAACAAAAACTATATAATGTTTTAATTATTTTTTTGACTTGTATTTTTTCTTGCGACATTTGTGTGTTTTCTAAAGAAACAATTCATTTAACCCTCTATCATAACACAACAAAAACCAGATATATTCAAGATTATTTTCTCACTAATAAACCGAATAAAAAGTAGTTCTAAGTTCTAGCTAGCTCCCATTATATTTAAATAAATCATTTTATAAATTTAATATATCAGTTTATAAACACAATTTAACCCATTCATCGTGCCATGCCCTTCTCGCAATTGGGAGAATCTTTAACTATTTTTTCCTTTTAAAAAAAATAAAAAATACTCGGACTATATAACACACATGCATGCACGGTCCTCAAACTTTCCTTTGCACAACCACCTGAGTCTCCGCCGTGGACCTCCTCGACCATTTTTCTTTCTTTCTTTCTTCCGCCTTTATTTTGTTTTTTTTTTTAATTTGCACGTTAAAAAAATGGAAACTTTCTGTTATTAAGGTCTGATTAGTATAATTATTTGGATCCAAATAACCGAATTAATAATAAAATCAACTAAAATAAACAGCAGAACAATAAGGTTGGACACATTTAATTCTAGAACTCAAAATAAATACCTGAAAAATAAAAAGTTTATTACAACCTCTTTCTGGAGTTTTCAATTATGAATTATGTCTCCATCTCATGCAAGAAACGTACAATGTATTATAAGAATTGATCTTATACATTATTATTACCATTAAAAAAAACAAAAAACAACGTATGGTATCCTCTATAATTAAGGCTATAATCCTGCCATTAAAAAAAAACAAAAAACAACGTTGTGCATGGTATCCTCTATAATTAAGGCTATAATCAATATAAATAAATCTAACAGATTTTTTTGCCTCATCGGATCTGTATTAAATATAATTTATTCAGTCACAAACTATATATATATATACACACGAAATTAACTCATTTAATCAATTCTAACGGATTCGTCTTGCCTTATTCGAGACCCAGTATAACTTTGTTTCTATATTAAAATTCATTTAAGAATATCTAAATATTATAATACTAATTATAAAAATATAAAAAAATCAAACTAGTGATCTTATAGATATTTATTATGGGTTTACCAAATGGAAATATTTGTTTTTACCTTATTTAAATACTACAGAAATAAATCTTTCCCCTGGTCAGAGCTCTCAGCGTTCAAGGAAGAGGCCTAGAAAGAGCTTCTGAAAGCTAGTGCCGGGCCCAGAAAATCAAGTATGTTGGGCTTTATCGTGATATTTTGAGTGGAGATGGGTAATCCAATGTTACCATCAATAAGGCCCAAGCCCGCATTTGCAAATGGCAGACGGCAAGGGAGCCCAGTCACATGCTTAAGTCTTGTTAAAAGAAAATCAAGATTAAGCAAGTTAAATGAGTATTGGTTCAAAGGATAAAAAAAATCAACCGAATTGGATATAAAAATTAAGCCAATCAATTCGATTTAATTCATTTTGGATTTATATTTATAATAAAAAATAAATAAATTTAATTTAAATTAATGAGTTTTAGTTTGACTATTTTTTTATAGACTTTGATTTAATAATATTTTTTTATTTATAATGGTTTTTTCAAGTTTGGTTCAATTTATTTTTTCAAGTTTATTTTGTGTAAAATCAACATTCCGCATGACTAAACAAAATTAATCTCCACGCGAAACTAAGGTGGTCCAAGGAAAAACAAAAAAGATATAAGACTTCCCTGTGATATCAAGTTATCGGTAACCGGTTGAAGGTGGAGATTGGTGTTTGGGCTGGAAACCTGGCTTCTCCGCCGGCCCATCAGCACTCTGGGTCTCACTAGCTGGTGGTTTGCCCCTGCCCTGGCAGTGTCTCGTCAGCATGCATTCCAACACCATAGGCACCATCAGTGACTGGCTTCATTGTTGTCATTTGAGGTGGCTGATTCAGTGTACCCTCCTTTTTCTTGCTTCTCTCGATCCGCTTCAATCGCCTGCTGGCTCCGTCCGGTTGAATGAGTCAGTCATCTGTTTATATGCGTGATATATATGATATTTTTTAAAAAATATTTTTTAATTAAAATTATATTAAAATATTTTTCAAATTTTTTTTAAATATCTGCATATTAAATTCATCATGAAAAATATAAAAATATTTAAATTGATTTTTTTAATAAAAAGCAATATAAACCATAAAAACAAACACTTACATAAGAAACAACTTTTAAAACAAATAAAATAATAATTTAAGTATTAAAACCCAATAAATGTTACTATAAAAATACCCATCTTTGTTATAGATGAAAAATAAATAGCTTGATTTTAGTATAACTAGGTAAATTTAGCATGTCAATCATTTGAATTCTTTTTTCTTAAAAACAACATTATTTTTATTTTTTCTTAAAAAAATACTAAAACAAATGTTTTAAATTAATTCGGTGAATCCATCTATCCTATGATCGGAATTGGATTTAATAACTATAATAATAAACATGAAGGCTATGACAAGATACAAGATGAGAATTATGAATGATTAAAACGTGTAACCTTATCTCTGTTTATTTTTCCTTCTCTGCAAGTTTTCATGTAAGATGCCTTCCAATCATCTCCACATGGGATGGCTTAGCATCAATGCATGGCTATATTACACATCCATCATTGACAGAAGTAGGAATGTGAATTCCTTAACACTCCTTTTGTGCACAAATTTTCCTGTACCGTCCAGCTTCACGCATATTACCACCGTTTCGCAAAAGAATCCCGTGGCTTATAATTCATGTCTTATCTCTTAGCATATATAACCCATGATGTAAGAGGCAGAGATGGTCGAGGACATGTTCCAACAAGCTTATCTGTCATGTCTGCCTCGAGTTCCACCAGTGTCTTGTAAGTCCAACAATGGTGGAATTTTAGTTAATTGATGGAATATTATTTTGGTGTTAATAATTAAGAGAGAGAGAGAGAGACCCTTGACGAGACAGAACACAACGTGGTCAGCTCGGAACCTTGGAATTTCAATTCTAAGTTCCAGCTTAAGTTAAACAAATAACATCATGATGGTTGACATTAGAGATTTAGAGGACTCTAGTTAGACTTGAAGTTGCAGTTTCCCAATTTTGTATGAGTGAGCTTTCAACTTCCATGGCCCTGGGTGGCTGTTCAATTGCATGTCCGATTGCAATGATTACTATAGTTTCTGGAATCAATGCATGCATTCAGGATTTTAGTAATCGACGTCTAGTCATCGTTGCTCGCAACGAAGAATAGCAAAATGCTGCTGGGTATTTGCAGGCATGCCATCTCATGTCTTAATCCATGCTGTGCAGACCAATTACTTGGTGCCAGGCAAGGGTATTGTTTGGTACATGGAGCAGGAGAGGCTATGTACAAAGTCAGTTCTTAAATTTACAGCTTTTGGGGGTTGGGAAACTGCTATCAATATTCGTTATCGGATAGGACATGCATTCCAAGGTTTCTCCTTCTTCTTCTTCATTCTTTTCAAAATCAGCTGTTTTTCTAGTAAATGGCCCTCAAAAATTAAAATTTTCATCAAATATTGAGACCAAAATCAGAAACCGTGCGAAAATGAAGAAAAACAAAACACTAAAAACCAATCCTCCAAAGTAGAAGTTCAAGTATATCAAAAAATAAAATAAACAAGTTAAATAAATATCTCGCTCGCATGGTTAAAGTTTTTGAGTTTGTAAGAAAACTTCTTTATTCAAGACAAGATTTAGGATATTTTAAAATCCAGATCTAACATTTAATTATAGAATTTGAAAAATAAAAAGAATTCCCATCTATTTTATATTCAAGTTTATTATTGTAATGTTGATATCTATTTTTAACAATACTTTTAATATATAAAATTTGTGTCTACAATTGAATCACACGAAAAAGGAAGAGAAGAAAGAGGAATGAATAATTTATTGTAAAAAAAAAAAAAAACCTTCTTGAAACCTTCAAAGATGGCTAATTGACTATAGCTGGATTTGAAGCGTGCATCAATCTGAGCTCTAAAGATTTTACGTAATATGTTATCGAAGATTCTTAAGCTGCGTGTGATCTTTTTCAAGTCCCTAGTTCGGCGTAAAATAATTGCTAACCCTGTGTATCTCTTCATCGAGTCCCTAAAGATTGCAACTTGCTGCTTTAATTTCCAAAAAGATTTGCCTTTTAATGCTCCACGTGAGTTCGACCCACATGCCGTCGCTTCGAATTGTAGTCAGAATTTAAGAGTCCATACCAAAATTTATTTATCTGTTCAATTTATTTATTAATATAAAATAAATGAAACAGATTTATAATTTACCTGTTGAATTTATTTATTAATAAATATTACGATGAAATTAATAAATAAAATAAATGAAACAGATTTATAATTTACTTTGAAAGAATTAAATAATCATCCCATCTATAAACTTAAATATTAGGTAAGGGTTTTTAAATGAATTCTTTTAAATTTAAAATTTATATAAATTTAGTGTATATCTTGTTATAATTATAGATTTTTTTATTAAATTATATTATATTTTATATTTATGTTTTCTAGTAGACAAACTTTCAAAACTTGAAAATGTTATATTATGAGTTTAAGAAGAAACATTAAAAAATATAAAGATATGTTGTTAACGGAAAGTAAAAAAATTATTTTAAATATTTTATACAAATATATTTATTTTATATTTATATTCCTGATTCTTCAATAAAATACGTTTATATTATATTGTCCCCGTAATACTAACCAAAACACAAATGTTTACCGATATATATATATCTTAAAGTATGTGAATTTGAAAATACTATACATTACACTAAAAACAAAATAATCTTTTTTAATTGATATTATTTAATGTTTTATGGCAGCAAAAGGATGCTTATGATTAGCAAGGTAGACAGGCAGAGGAATTAATTAATAGAAGACTGGGACGAATTTATGCAAGTGTACATATTAGATGCATGAACAGTACTCGGAACCAACGCGTTTTTACAACTTGTTGCGCACCAAACCCATAGTCTCTTCTTTAACCCACATGGTGATCCAGGCGCCATTAGTGCTTGCTGTTGCCTGTAAGGGTCTGCAATGCACCCTGGCATTGTATATATGTAAAGCTCAATTAATTGCAATTTTATGGTCTTGTGATTGTTAGATTAATCCAAGGCTCTGAAGTAAATTGGGTTCAATAAAAGGTAAAATTAAATTACATCTCATATGGTTTCGATCGATACCTCTAATGCATGCATGTGTTCTTTCACAATCCATCAATATTCTCTCGATATGTTATTCAAGGAATCCGATTCATTCAATTAACAAAGAGGTCTTGAAAGAACTGCCACATGAAATAACACACAATTTTGCATAGAAATAGCACACTTATTTTTCCAGATAATTTCAGTTATAGGGAACTCTAGATTAATATTTCCCATAAATTAATATCAAAGTTAGCAGCCAATGAAAAAATCACTCAACTTTAAGAAAGAAGTGAATTGCTTGGAGTGATATATTCATAATTGCTAAAATTTAAATCTGATTTACATGTAAATTGATCCGAGCAAGATTGACATTTGGAAGTAGAAAAGTATTTGAAAGAATCACAATTGACCCAGGGCATGACGAATTCATAAGTAAAATTAACTATTAACCTCACAAATCCTTCCAATTCGGGAAAGAAAAACTTGGGACAGAGTAAGAAATGAAAGTGGGCTACAATCCAAGAAAGCCAGCATGTCAAAACCATGTGTGTCTCCTCTCCAGTTGAAACATGAAATGGTGATCCTTAACCCATGCCTCCTTGCCTCGGTTTGCAAACCCTAAGCTAGCGTTAAAATTAAAACTAATAATTAACAGCTGGATTTCTTCGCCGATCCGTCTCCTCCATCCTTAATCCCCTCGTGCGCCTTCGTTTTCGTACCTTTATATACCTCCCCCTCTTCTTTCTTTTATTCTCACATAAAAAATAAAAATATTACAACTCCAAAAACACTACCAAGATTCAGCACCGCTTGAAAATGGTAGGCGTGTTCAAGCGATCTCTTTCATTTCCTAACAAAATTCCTAGCCGTACTCTATCAAAACCAACCATCTCTTACCACAATAGATCCATTAGTCTTCCATGCAGATCACATCCCTTGATTTCCCAGCTCATGAACGAGATCAATGAGCTTAAAACTTGGTCATCGAAGCTCGAAAACCGAACTTGTGTTTGGCTTTGTGATGGCTTGGGTCGTCTTAAGGATGTTCAAGATTCTTTAGATGATATCCTTCAGCTACCTCAAACACGAGAATGTCTTCGTCGACAGCCTAAATGGGTGGAGAAGCTTCTTGAAGACTTTCTTCGTTTTGTTGATGTCTATGGGATCTTCCAAACATTAGTTTTGGCTGTTAAAGATGACCAGGTTGCTGCACAGGTTGCTATAAGAAAGAGAGATGACTCAAAGATTGCTTTACACATCAACTCTCGCAAGAAAATGGCTAGAGAAATGGCTAAACTTGTTTCCACAGTTCGATGCATCGCACGAAGCCCGTTTCCTGGATTGGGTTCAGGCCCCTCTGTTGGTGATGCTGAGTTGGTCCGTGTTATTATAGATGTTATCGAAGTTAGCGTGTTGGTTTCGTTTGCACTTTTTAATGGAATGTCGTTGTCTTTCGCGTCAAGAAAATCATCCTGGATCAGACTAAGGTTGCCGAAGAAGGTTAAGATTGATGAAGGAATTCAAGAATTTCAGCAAATTGGAGTTGAGATTTTGTGGGGATTGGGAAAGAAGGAAGATGAAGAGGTGAGGATGGTTTTGAAAAGGATGCAAGAGTTGGAGGGGTGTATTGGTGATATTGAAACTAGTGGTGAAAGAGTGTTTAGGAGTTTGATTAACACTAGGGTTTCATTACTCAATAGTCTCACACAATAGAGAGGAAAAAAGGAAGATCACGTAATTTAATTTTTATTTTATTTCCCCTTTTTTCTTCAGTAAAATCAAATGAAAATTGTCAAATTTAGTGGTAATACATATTTGTACAGAAATGGATTAATGGTGTGCGTACAGTCTGATCATATACACCACAAATTAATCCTGCTTTGTCTTTAGACATTCTTTTTTTATATAAAAAAATACTTAATTAAGAATTAATTAAAAGAAACCTCTACAAGCGGAAAAATGATGGCGGCGCATAGACTTTGTAATTTTGAATAAATATTTGGAGGGATACAATTACGTGAGCAAATGATGGAGTCTATAGACTCATATCTGATAATAATATCTATATATCTTCTAATAAATCAATAAATTGCATCCACATGAGTTTTAGCTGTAAAAAATAAAAATAAAAATTGCATCCACATGAGTTTTAGCTGTAAGTGCAGCATTCCCAAGTCGGTCGTTGTATCCAATATCGAAAATGATTTGGTGAATACGCATCATATTACATTAATTTGAAAATATATTTCATAAAAATATGTAATAATCGCGGTCTTGCTGGAGAGCTAATTTATAATTAAGCACAATCATCCCTTAATCATGACCTTAATTTGTTTCGAGATAATTGAAGACGTACGTACCCCGCTTCCTATCATTGGGCGTTGCTTCCCTTTATAACCTGTTCTCGATCGAGACTCAATGGCCTCCAGTGGCATTGACAGCTGAATTTAGCTCAGGGCTTGAATTGTTTTGACATCCCAGCTAAAAGAAGAGAACAAAAGGAGCCATGGACGTGGTCCCTTGATGTTTGTTGTGCTGCTTTTATGCCTTGTCGAGGGTAGAAAAATGAACGAGAAGGTCTATATAATGCATGCTCGAGCTCTTGTGGCTACGAGCCTCGCAATCTCCCAGTGAATTGAGCTTCATCAGTGGATCATGACGTCCTGTTGTTGGGCTCCACTTCCTCTCCTGTTTTGGGCTCATGCTAGCTAGATTTCTGTTCCTTTAGGGATAATTACACGATCGGTACATTTACTCTGTATGCTTTCTTAAATCCATCCATTTCAATTGCTCTATTAAATATAATAATATATGACAGCACGTGAGAAGTAAAATAATTACAATGTATTAAAAAAATACTTAAATTTATTTTCAATTAGGCATCTAATTAATATATCACATACGTGTTCCCTTGCTGAAGTCTGATGGGCCTTCTCTCAGACAGTGCAGCTTACTAAATATTAACCTAGGGGCCTACTTCCTAATAATGCTAATGTCTGAAGAGTAGGCCCAACACGAAATCCTTAACCAAATCCCAGCACAAATTAACATAGAAAAGACAACAGTAATTGGGCTGGAGAAGGTCCATTCATGAGGCCCGTGATACTAGTTATGGTAATAAATAGATAAATAAGGATTAAAAAAATCATGGATTTGTAAAAACACTGGAGCTCTCAAAGATTAATCAGCAAGAATTAATACTGAAATCTGGAATTATACCTTTTTTAATCACCATCATAAACTTCACTCAACAGAACAGCCATTTCCTAGTATAATTATATTGTAAGAATTTCAAGGTGGCTTCCCCAAGTGCCTCCATCCAGTCCTCAAATGCACCACTAATCATCTGCAGAAACTCTCTTCGAAAACAAGAGTCTAGGAGGAGACGAACTTGTGCTACAGAGCTAGCTTTTGTGTGTGCGTGTGCGCGTTATCTATTTTAACAGTATGAATTACCCTGTGTAATATAGCGAGTAACTGGACCCATTTTATTAGACCGTTGCAAGATTATCATGAGGGTTTCTTCTCACAATTGTCTTGTTCAGTCTACAAGCTCGTCGCCTTTCTTTCTTTCTTTTTTTTTTAAGAAAAAACTTTGTTAAATCAGAGAACGTATTTTTGTTTTTGGTGCAGGTCGAGAATAGTTGCAGGGGACGACCTGTCTCGTCTTTCAAAGGGAAATTGCCCATCAGCAGGGGCCACTGCTCGTGATTCTTGATAAGCTTCGGTTAGGTCTCCGAGAGAGAGAATTGATCACCATTTGTCATTTACTTCTCACGTTCCACTCTTCCGTTGCCGCGACAATCCGATAGGTAGCTCTGAAAAATGAATTGGAGTCTTCTACATGAACAACAATTATAATAATCTATTCTAAATAAATAATTAATCTTCGCAAAATTGACGGCAGAATATCTGTAGTTACATCTAGAAAGAAAGAAAAAAAACCCATTACCTTAACCAATCTAATCCAATCCTCGTCCAAATCAGGGGTTGGGTATAGCTGTTTCCAGTTAGGGTTTAGTCTATTTGTTTCATTCGGTGTAACATAACGTGTAGGCATAGTTAACGGACCCGTCTGATTTGGTAAAGGCTCATGTCATTGGGTTATTAGGTCCACTTCATTATTTTATTTATTAAAATAACATTACTTCAATCTATCTTAAAAAAATTATTGATTTTGATACAGTCATGTTTAATCTTGATCTAATCGAGTCAACTAAATTCTAAATTAACCACTTAAATCATCTAAGCTTAAACTAAGATTGCAAATCAAGAATTTATCATGTAAACCCTAGGCTGTGCTGAATTTAATAAATAGGTGTGTGGGTTGGGGAGGGGACCCTGCCCTTTTTTCCTTGGCGACGCCTAGAATCATGTGGTGGCAAGAGTTCTGTTTGCCGCCGATCAGAACCTCCATATTTTAGTAGGAATTATCGAAAGCAAAAGGGCATAGGCTTTCCTACGAATGAGGACAGGATACGAGGCTGGAAACGAGGAACACGGTTCCATGTCTCCTAGCTCGTCATAGGGACATGGCACCCATTAAGAAGAAAGAAAAAGGAGAGACAATACAGACAAGCCTACTCGAGTTGGAATTCCACTCGAACCCCCCCTTTTAAGATGCAATCAGATTCAAAATCCCCGTCGTGAACGTGACTCTTTTGTTTTCACTTGTTTTCCTGAATCTAAAATGCTTGAAAAGGAGATCACATAACATTCTAACCCTTCATCACTCCCATTCCCTTTAACTTTTAATTTTTAAACGTTGTGCTTGTACTTTCTATCGCCCTTACAAAACTCAAATTAGTCTGACAAGATAATTCGACACCAGATCAATTTAGTGTGTGTGTGTGTGTGTGTGTGTGTGTGTGTGTGTGTGTGTGTTTTCCCTCGGACGAGCCAGCCTCCAGTAAACTCTGTCTACCACCATACCATTTGTAGATCTATTTGTTTACTTTTTGCAACAGCGAGAATATAAAAGTAAAACAATCCGCGTTGGTTTCAATCAACTGAAGAGTTGAAACATCAGTGTCCATGTAATTTCCTCAACATCACTAAATTATGATCACAATTATTAGCAAAAATAAATGAATGATGATCACAATTATGGGCTGATTTGAAAACAGGATCGTCTTTGGCTTTTTCAAATCCTCCATGATTAGGTTTAAAAGCTTAAGCCATGGAAAGGGTGAAACGTATAAAATCCCTCATCATGTGTGTGGTGGAGCCATGGTGTACGGAACGAAGACTGGTCCTCCATTGACCCCTGCAGTCTCATGGGACCGACCCCTTTTTACCTTCTTTCATAAAGAAGTGATCATCTACATAGAATGTCGGTTCATCACCAGAGGATCCTTGCTCTCTGGTTGCAAAACCGACGGCGACAGCCCACTTTCTAAGCAGATGCAATTCTCAATTTTTCTTTCATGGAAATAAACAGAGCTTTTCTATTTCTTATATGAAATAATTCTTACAATAGATCCTACACTTTTATTTATGAAAGTTTTATGAAAATAGGAAGGGATGTTTGACAAAGCGACCGAAATATTATTTACCCATAATTTGAATATTCTTTCTTCTCAAGATTTATTTTTTTTATTTTTTTTAATATGGAGATATAAAAAATAAATTTTAAAAATTAAAAAGATATTTTTTTAATATTTTTTAAAAATATAATATTTACTATGCTCTCAAATAGATTTTAAGAATAAGAGCATTTTCAATGAAGAAGCTAAATAAATAGTCAAAAATAAAAAACTAATATTTTGATTTTTTTATTTGTTTTTCATACATCAAGTGGAAATCCAAATAAAAGGTTAAAATGTTTTTTTTTTTTTTTTACAAATGATATTCCTATATGTCTTTTAAAAGAGCCAAAACTAATAAAGTGGAGTCAATAAAAAAATAAACCAATTAAATCTTGCCATGTAAAAAAAATAACATTAAAATTATTTAAAAAATAAAATATTTATTTATTCCACTTTAATAAAATTAGCTTTTTAAATATGTATAGTTAAAAAAAATTCTATTTATACTATTTAAAATATTATTTTATTAATTTATCTCTTTAAAATAGCATATTGGAGATAAATTTTCAAGAAAATTGGGAGGTAAATGTCTAAAAAGAAAGATGATAAATTTAAAATGAAATTCTTGAAATATTTTTTTTATCTACGTGGGGTGTTCGGGCCAGCTTACGCGCACCACGACTAATCCTCACGGCCCACTGAACATCTTGCAAGCCCAGTAAGCAGGTAAGGCACCACGAGGGTAACAGACGTGCATGATGAGATTCGAATCCAGGTGCAGAGGAAGGAGACAAGCCCTATCTACCACTAAACCAGAACCTCACTTGCAATTCTTGAAATATTTTTTGAAACGTGACACGCATGGTTGATATACGTAAAAAATTAAGACTCCATTATTTGATCCCCGTCTTCTAATAGATTTGTCAAAAAAAGGCTCCTCTATTGTCATTTCAATCAATCCAGCATGTGTATTTTAAATTTCAAATAACTTGTACAATTTACTACTATTAATATCAAATACTACCATCGGTTTTTATTTATTTATTTATTTATTTACTCTTGTTATGTCATTGTTTTTTATTAATTTAAGATATGATTAATTAAAAAAAAAACTGAAATAAATTCTTGCAATAAAAAGATCAACTCAAAGTAAAATCGAATCAACGGGATTACTGAATTGGCCTCCTTGTTTTATATCGATGCTTGGGAACATAAACAACAGAAAGAATACTCTTGGGCACAGATGTCAATGGCAAGAACTCAAAAATACCAAAGAGACGTTACGCCAATCCCGCCAGCCCCTCTCCTCTACCACTCCTTTAAAGCTAATCCAGTACACTACGACTTCACTTTCTTCCTCTCTCTCCCCCCCTCTCCCCCGATTTATGCAGCTTTAAATGCACACCCCCTAACCGATATTTAAACCTCGTATAACGTTCCTCAAACATTCACTCCCCCCCCCCCCCTCTCAGAGTTCTTCCTGTCTGGTTCTACTCTTCTCTTCATGGGCTGCTCCATTTCTAGAATTGACCAGCTCCCTGCAGTGTCTCTATGCCATGACCGATGTAAGTTCGTTGAAGAAGCTCTGTACCAAAGCTATGCCCTCGCCGATGCTCATGTTGCTTACATGCACTCCCTCAAGTCCCTCGGCCCTGCATTTCACCGCTTCTTTGATGAAGCCCTCATCAATAACCAGTCTGACTCTCAATCTAATGGCGATTCCGCGGCTGTTACCAAACTCAGTAAACCCTCTTCGCCTGATATTTTCTGTCCCTCAAGTTCTACAAACTCGGAGACTTCTCACATTGATTTCCGTTCTGATTCAGAAGATGAAGAATTTAAAGACAACAAAGATCTTGATTCGCTTCATGGAGTCCATAAAAGTCAGTTTAATCCGTATTCTTATGATCATCTTGACGATAATGAGTACGATTACCCAGCTTGGAAAACTCCTCCACCTCCGGCTCCAAGTAGTTCAGCCTGGGATTTCTTGAATTTCTTTGAAACATACGAGAGATATGAGTTACCGACCAAGGATAAGGAATTTGTGAATGGAATTCGTTTAGAAGGTAAATGTGGTAAAAATGGAGAAGAAGATAGGAGGGAAGCAGAGAAAGGTAATAATGTGAAGCAGAAGAAGGAGGCTAAAGTGGTAGAAGAAAAGAAAGTTGAACATGTGAAAGAGGAAAGTAAAGAGAGTAAAGATTTAGGCCATCAGGCTAAAATCCAAAGTGTCTTGGAGGTTATGAAAGGAGTAGAGGTTTTGTTTGACAAAGCTGCAGAGTCAGGAAATGAAGTCTTGAAAATATTTGATGCAGGGAAATTCAGATATTATTACAAAAATTCTGTTTATCAAGGTATTAACATTACTTTTCTTTTAAACATGGCTTCATCTCTTGTTTAATAATTAGTCTGTTGCTGAATATTGTCAAGAATAATTTGATTTTCTTTTCCTTTGTAAAGAAGTTTCTTCCAAGATGTTGCACACTGTTACTCCGTCTTTTTCAGAGAAGAATGGTTCTGTTCATGGGGACTTTGATGAGGATTTGGGGATAATTTCTGTGAATCTGTCTTCTACTCTTAGAAAGCTGTGCTTGTGGGAGAAGAAACTCTATCATGAAGTCAAGGTATGCTTTACTCTTTTCCAAGAAGAACGGTCCTGTCATGTTGCTTTGTTCTTTTCCTTTTGCTTTCGTTTTGGAATGCTTCCTAATCCACACGAAAAATAAAGAAATTGTTCATTATATTGTAGGCTGAGGAAAAATTGCGTCTCCTTCTTGCGAAGAACTGTGGGCAGATGAACATGTTGGGTGAGAAAGGCGCTGATGCCAATAAAGTTAACTCCACTCAACCTTTACTCCGGATGCTATCTACGAAGATCACAGTTGCAATTCAAGTTATTGACAAGATATCAATTACCATCAGTAAATTGAGGGATGAAGAGTTGTGGCCACTGATCAGTGACTTGATTGAGAAGTATGTTGTTGTTTAATCTTGCACAAGTTAATTTGTAGTTAAGACAACTGAGTTCTGGATTTCACTTGTTTTGCAGTTGTCTTGTAGTTACAATGTTGCTACCTTACTAGGGACTGCTGATCTGCAACAGCTTTTAAGATGTAGCATTGTAACTTAGTCTTGTTGCTTGTTTGCTGTCTATTTTTATTTTTATTTTTTTGTGCCGGTTAACATCGATCCATTTAATCACAGGTTACTGGATATGTGGAAAGTTATGTTAGAATGCCACAGATGTCAGTCCCAGGCAGTTGTCGAAACCAGGAGTTTGGATGCCGTTGCTTCCAATGTGAAGTTTAGTGATGCCTATCTTGAAGCAGCAATACAGCTCAAGATTGAGCTACAAAACTGGAATCTAAGCTTTTCCAATTGGATCGATGCACAAAGAGGCTACGTCAGAGCATTGAATGGTTGGCTTCTGAGGTGTCTTCCATCTGAACTTGAAGAAACTCTAGACGCTGTGCCACCATTCTCCCCTAGTAGGACAGGAGCACCTCCGGTGTTTGCGTTCTGTAACCTGTGGTCACTTGCCATTGACAGGGTCTCAGAGATGGAGGTAATTTATGCAATGAATGGATTGTTCGATAGTGCAAATCAGTTCCTGGAACGACATCATGATTACCTACAGCAAAGACTGACTACAGACAAGGACATGGCGAAGAAAATGAAGACCTTGGAGAGGGAGGGGCAAAGGTTGCAAAAGGTGATTCAAGCTCGAGGGAAGACGTTTCAAGCCAGTAGAGCTGTACATCGAAGCGAAATGACCGATAATAGTAGTCTTCAGTTTGGTCTGAGACAAATTTTTGTAGCCATAGAGCAGTTCTCTGCCGATACCATGCACGGTTATGAGGAGCTTCATGTGCACATTGAACATAGTAGACTCGGTCAAGAGAATCCAGCAGCTCCTTAATTATTCACCAATAATCAGGCATTACATATATCTGTGAATTTATTCCCTTCCTGGATTCGACGAGGCTGGCCTATGGATTCATTCTTTCCATCCTTTGCTCATTTCACCTCCTCAACAGTGGATAGTTGTGATACTATGTGCAATAACAAGTAGGGCATTCGAGCTGCGGTTTTTGAGCTACAAATGTGACATGCTGTGGTTCAGCTCAGCCTCCGTTGAGGCATGATTGCAGTTTTGATCAGATGCAAGTGTAATATTGTCAGGTTTTTTGAACATCCACTTAGGTATCCTTGATTGTCTTTGTTGTGTTTTTTGGGACATATATGCCCTGCTGTGTTTGACACTCTGCAGTTTCAACAGTATCATTTTGAAGCTTAACCTGTCAGGATCGTTCTGGGCTTCCCCGTTGGGTTATACTAGCTGTTCCTTTAGCAGTACATAGGAATCTTCTTGTAAATTTGTTTTGAGGTCAGCAAAACGTTTTTCTCTGTCCGGGCTATCCAGAGAGCAAGTGCTTTCCTGATTTAAATTCGAGTTTGTTTTTTGTAATTTATTTATTGATTAATTCGACAGCATGGATTTGCATCTTTGATCAACCTATCTTTGGCCCAACAACTTCATTTCCAGCTGGTAAACTAAGGTTCTGTTTTACAGTGCAGTACCGTGTTGTTGAAACCATAGTTATGAATTCTGTCTGATAGGTTGACTTAGACCAGGGTTTTCATTTTTGTGTCAACCTAGAAAGATTCAACTTCTTTATATATTTTTTTAGAAATTTAAAAAATATAAAATTAATTTATAAATATTAATTAGTCTTGTATTTTTGGTATGGTCTATAAAATGTTTCTTTATTTTTCAATGCCCGCACGTACACACATATATATACATTACCAGATTTTATTAAATTAAAAACTTCTTATACATGTTAATTGTAAAACCACAAAAAAAATCTAAAATCTTACTTTAAAACATATTTTTACTATATGTATAATATTTCTTAATTTTTTTATATAAAATATTAAAATCTCAAATATTATTTTTTAATTTTTTAGGTGAACTTGGATCAACCCATATGACTTGGAACTTAGCCCCTTAATAAGGTTAAACTCCCTAATGGAATTTAATAACCATGATTGAAACTATATTTTACTTTAATCATAATTTTAAATGTATTTGGTTTATTAACATATAATTTTTCACATGTTCCATTGAAACTCTCCTTAATTATAAAAAAACTATAATAATTTATAATTTTTTAAAAACTTATTTTTCTAGATTTAGAAACACAACAAACACATTTCAAGAAAGCAATGTAATCTTCAATTCATGTTTGCATGTTATTTTGGAATTTGAACTTTTTGCTTAACTATTGTTTCTTATAGTTTCATATGGTTTGAGGCTAGTTAGAGATGAAAAAAAAATCAAAAAATCAATTAAACTGAGAAAATCAGAAAAAAAATAAAATAAGCTATTAAATATATTAAAATTTAAAAAAATTAGCCAGTTCGGTTTAGTTTTGTAACAAAAAAACTGAACCAAAATAAAAAAATCGAGTCAAACCGAGCCAAACCCAAGAAAACTGAACCAAACCAGTTTGAACCGGTTTTTGTCATAAAAAACCAAACCAAACCAAAATCAATCGGTTTGAACTGGTTTTGGTTTTTTTAAAATTATTTTTTGGTTTAGTTGTATTTTTTGATAAAAACCAAACCGAACTGAAAATAAACACCCCTAAAACCAATCATTAGTTTTTTAATTAATAAGATACTTTATTTTTTTACTCAAAAACTCATTTCAATTAATTTTTGACTCAAAACGCTTAACAAACACTCTAAAGACCTTGTTAAACTAATCTATGGCAATAAAAAACATAAAAAAAGGCTTTAAAACTTGAAATCCACTCAAAAACCAAAAAAATTTCGAAGCATGAATGTCTTTTTAGGTTTTTTGAAGGTTAAAAAAATACAATTTTAACTCTCATTGTCATATAAAACTATAAAAATGATTGTTTTAGTAGCTAGATTCCTCACCAACGAACACTTTCTTCTTTTCTTTCAACCAAAAAAAAATTAAAAATTAAATAAAATAAAGTTTAGTATAAAAATTAAATTTTATAAAATCCAAGGGATTGTTTACCTAATAGTTAAAAAAGATTGCTACTCAAATGAATTTTTGATTGAGATTTTCAATCTATTACCTATGTTACCTGATTTTTTTTTTTAATTCAAGCCTCTTATATTAAACCATGTAATTAGGCTCTAATAAGGTTTTATTGCGTAAGGAAAAAGTTTGAAAATCAAATTGAATTTTTTTTAAAATTACACTATTATAATTTAATTTGCAGTAAAATACGAGAGGGTGTGTTTTTGTAATCAGTAAAAACAGCATATATTTTAGCTTTATGTATAATAATGTACCATGTATAAAGGTTTATGTATAATAATGTACCATGTATAAAATGTAATGTATAATACATTAACTGATAATTAGACGAAATCTCTTCTTCGAATAGTCTTAAATCTGATGCTTCCTCTGTGTCGTCCTGGTTTTGCGAAAAAATTGCTTCGGTGGTGGGTTGATCTCCTGGGGGTTGCTTGACAGAAATAGCCTTGCATCGGGACAGAAACCAAATCTAAACAGACAGACAAGTGTAATTAATTTATAAGTAATTTTGTCAACAAACTTCATGGAACGAAATTTAGTTCTTTTAACCTATAATTGAAGTTTATAAATTTTTGTCAAGCACGGGACAACGACTCTGCCGCTTATGGAAAGCTTGTATTCAGGAAGTGTACACATGCTGAAGCTAATCGGTTTGGGGTTCGGAACATAGAAACTCGACAAGAATGGACATTGATTGATTTTTAGGACCAGCTAATTCGAGCTTAAATAAGATCTGGACACCTTACAAGGTTCAGTGGCCTTGGACCAGCCGGTCCCTTTCCGAGGAATTGGAGATGGATATGCTGACTGGCCAACATTTCAAATGCAAGAAATACTTGCACTCCCAACCATACAATGCGTTAGAAAAGGCATGTTATCTGCTTATTTTGACTTTTATTGATGGCTCCTGATGGCACCGCAAAGTTCCGCCGCATCTTCCCTCTGCTACCGCTTTCTGAACATTAATGGTTGGCATGCCAACGTTGTTTTGCTGCTCAACGTGTTACCAAAAAATCAAGCAGTGTCGAGCTAAGACTACTATGATTCAAAGGAAGAAAGCTTGCAAATTATGATATTACTAAAGGTCCTTACAGTTACAGTTATAGTTCCCTTCTTGCATTACTTTTCTCGTCAAGCCGCGTTGGCCCTTACAGTTATAGTTCCCCTCGTGCATTACTTTTCTCGTCAAGCCGCGTTGGATCTTCTCCTCCTGGTTTGTGTCGTCTTCTTTTAAGGGATGCTCTTGACTCTGTTTCTGCTCATGTCTGGTTTTTTCTTCCCTTCTCCTTAGCACCCAAAAAATTAATAATAATTACTATTTTTCTTTTTCTTTGGAAGAATCCGTATGATATTGTTTAGTGAAAAATCCAAAAAATACTAGCAAATCTGACAGCGAACCCAAGAAGAGAAGTCTTTTATCAAGCAAACTATTATGATGATACTTGAGTAATTCTAGCATCCTTGCAATACCAAACTTGATTTGATAGGTTATCTTATTAATTTGTAACTTTGCAACCTTGACGCTATCGAGTTAGTGAAATATCAATTTCTTAAAAAATTTATGTTTTAATATTATTTAAAAAAAAAACACTCTATTTATTTAACTTAGATTAACAATTTTTTTTTTGTTATAATCAATAATAACTTCTTTAAAAATGTTAAAAAAATATTTTTTTTAGTTGTGCAGCAGCTTGTTGTATTTTAAGAAGAGTTTAAGGGCATGATAAAGATTATTTTTTAAAATATTTTTTGTTTTAAAATACATTAAAATCATTTTTTTATTTTTAACATTACCACACTAAAACAATTTAAAAAATACTAAAAAGAAAATAATTTGAAGCAAAACAATATTTCAAATTTTAATAAAAAACGAGTTACACCTGTAATTCCAGATGAGATCTAAAAACAAATAACATATATAATTTAAATATATTTAGTATTATGATATATTGTTCTTCAAAAATATTTTTTTTACTTTAAAATACTTATTATATATATATATATTATTTTTTATATTATCACGTCAAGATCCATCAAAACTCTAGAATCCTTGTAATACCAACTTGATTTCATAGATTAATTTATTAATTTATCAACTTAGAACCTAGCTACAATCAATTTAACAAAATATCTATTAAAAAAAATAATTTTGTTTAAATTATTTTTAAAAAAATTAGTTTAATTTGGGTTAATTTATATTATGTTTGGTAATAACTTTAATTTTATTTAAAACATCAAAAAAATTTATATTGTACAACTACATATTGCATCCTAAAAATAAATTATCCAAATTTATGTTATGTGTTTGATATTGTATTATAAAGTGTTTTTTAAAATAATTTTTTGAAATATATCAAATTTTTCTTTATATATTTTTATATTATCACATCAAAATTATTAAAAAATATAAACAAAACATTATTATTTTTAAATTAGATACACTTTTAAAATAAACTCTTATGTAATTTTAAATTTAATAACAACTATTACTAGTGTTTGACACTGTAATTAGAAAGTATTTTAAAGAAAAATTTAAAAAAATTATTTTTTATTTTAAATTAATATATTTTTTATATTTTTAAATTATTTTAATATATTAATATTAAAAATAAAACATTATTTTAATATATTTTAAAATAAAAAAATATTTTAAAAAATGAGCACTCTCTAATCTTAAACCAGATGAGATTATTTTAAAAGAAACACAACAATTGAATTAAGTACGCTAAAACAGTATGTTGTCTTTAGCAATCATCATCCACAAGTATGAATGATGTAACGCTAGAATGCCAGCTTGCCTGAGGCTAGCGGGCGAGCCAGATTCCATTTTCGACCAAAGTAAACGTCCAGGTGTGAATCCAGGCCTTGACGATTAAAAGAGCGAAAGCCGTATCTCACGAAACTACACAACCGCATTTTCTCGCCGAAACTCGAACCGCGTGTAATGTTTCACGCGGAGTTTTCTTCTACAGCCAATCATTGTTTTTTCCATCCATCTTTCACGCTGATAACACGATTTATATTTTTTGCTTGTAAGATAGCGCGAGATTACAGTTCCATGATAGAAAGGAAAAAATGAGTTTAATGTGGCGGTAGAAATTATTTTTTAAAAGCACCTTTTATTTTAAATTATATTACATTTTTAAAAAGCATCTAGAAACAAAAGTTTCTGCACTCCCAAATACCATCTAAAATAATAAAAATAAAAATACATTTCATCAAATAAATGAAAATAAAACTATAAACATAATTTTAGAGCGATTCTTCATGCTTTTAAATTATAAAAAAATAAATACTATTTCAATCTCTTCTATATTTAAAAATTAATCATATATTATCTAAATTATTACTTTTAATTTTGAAGATGCACTCATCAATTTGCTTTTTTATAGGAAAGAGGAAAAATTAAAAAAGAAACAAATATAAACAA